TTTGGCTTCAGTTTAGTGTCTGAAACGTAAAAGTCATAACCCAGATTCAAGCTGGTCTGTGTGTACCAGCCTTTAGAGAAGTCTGAAAGTTGGCCGGTCACGTCTGAAATGAGACAGTAAAAACTCTTAAGGACCTAGTGCTGTGATTAACTTAACGAAAGGAGGATTCCTTAAATGGACTGACATCTGCCAAGTCAAGACCAGATGGTGGGGCCTGAGACTGAATCTAAAGGTGGCTGAAAGTGAGGCCTTGTGGTCTGACGTGACAGACAGGCGCGGTGGGAGGAGGGTGGTCTGGGCTACCCAGCCACAACGTGCCCAGAACTAACCTGGTGGCAAGGCTGCGTGAGTCGGGATGTAGCCCTTAGCACTGAGCGGACAGCCCCATTAGAGCCCCGGGATTCTAGGGCTGGGAATGTGGTAGAAATGTACCTTGCCGGCCCTTGCCTAGGCCTGCAGGGTAGAGCCCGGCATCCTGTCAGCCTAAGCCTCAGGTTGGAGATCACTAAATCAAGAGTCACTCCACAGGCACAGGAGGGCCTGGCATGCCCCCTCTACTGTGATGTCATCCACACGGGACTCTTGCTTTTGGAGACTTTCATAGTGAAAGGCCATCGTCTCTTGCCCTTTGCCTCCTAGGAGATTGATTGTCCTTGGAACCCTTTGTGTACCTCTCTGTAGCCATCCTCCTGCCCACTTCATGCCTGGTGCCGTGCTCTTTCCCCTCCGGGGCCGCCCAGCAGGGAGGGGTGCCCACCACCCTTGGTGACAGGGTTCAGTTTGTGTGCAGTGTGAACAGCACCTGTGACTCCCTCTCCCCCATCCTGCCATGTCCAGGGCTGGCTCTGCTCCCCAGAGGGAGGTTGCCTGCCATGGGGAGTCTGAGGGAGCAGAGGACCTGTGCCTACCTACTCCTCCCCATCACCTAACTGGAGGAAGCAGAGTGGGGAGGGGTGGCCTGCAGAGGGCGGGCCAGCCCCAGCCCAACACCTTCTTCTTTCTTCTTTTCCTTTTTTTTTTTGTCAGTCATGGGCCTTGAACACTGGGCTTGGGCGCTGTCCCTCAGCTCTTCAGCTCAAGGCCAGCGCTCTACCACTTGAGCCACAGCGCCACTTCTGGTTTTCTAGTGGTTTATTGGAGATAAGAGTCTCAGGGAGTTTCCTGCCCGGGCTGGCTTTGAACCATGATCCTCAGATCTCAGCCTCCTGAGTAGCTGGATTACAGGGGGGAGCCACTGACGCCCGGCCAACACCTTCTCATAGCATAGGTCACCTCTGCTCTCTCAGAGATCTAGAGTGAACATTCTCTAGCTCTTCACTGGCCTTTTCAAGTTTGAGGAAATAATTATTTTTCTTTTTAGAAGATGGCTTAACATTAAAAAGATCTATTGTTTGATGGTGCCAAGGGCCAATCCAGTATTTATGTGGACCTGGTGAAGGCCTGTCACTTGTAAGAACTGTAGAACAAAACAGGCTCTGTTGCTGGAAGTGGTTTGGACTGGGCTCTCATGGTGGCACACTCTGATGCTTGTACTTGTTTTCCTTGGACCGGGTGGTCATGGCAGTTCTCTCTGATGCTTGTGCTTGACCTCTTGGCACCAGAAGCTCTCTGCAGAGACCGGAGAGGATGGGTGCAGGCACTGAAGGTGAGTGTGTATCTTCTGGGGCTTGGCCCTCGCCTCCCTTCTCTCCTCACTCGTGGGGGGGGCGGGGCACTGGGGGAGGCAGGACAGACCGGTCAATGAGGAGCTCGGTGGGCAGCACACAGCCCGCACGGCTTTTAGAGCTATCCTGCCAGAGGGGCAACGCTCTCACGTTCCAGTCCCGCCCACTTACAGTGGCTCTGTGTCCCTGGAGGGCAGTGGGAGGCGTGGGTAGAAAGTGCTAGACAGGAAGATGGGCGCAGGCCACACTGCCGTGGGTCCGGAACAATCTGCCCATTACTGTGGTCAGCGTCATGGCCTTCCTGTGTGCCGAGAACAGTGGCTTCTTAGAAATTAGACTACTTGGAGCTCCCGCAGGGCCTGTTACTTGTTTGCTGGAGGGGATGTAGAGCAGGATCTAGGAGGCAGGCGGTGAGTGTGGGTGCTGCAGAACTCATGCCCTGGGGCCTGCCGGTGCTCACCTGGACTCTGGAGCAGGTGAGACAGGCTGGACGGACAGGTGGAGCCAGGAACTCCTGTGGGCCCAGAAATGCCCAGCACAGCCCATGCTGTCAGGGCCATGTGGCTATTTCACAGTTGCCTGAGGCTGAGTGCCAGCTGGCCTCAGGGAGGGGCCTTCCTGAGGAGGCAGCAGACTGAGGCCACGTCTGCTCCTGTTGTCACGCAGGGATGTTTTGATAAGCAAGGCCTTCTAGACTGTGCAGAAGACGGTCAACCTGCAGCAAGTGTGGCCTTAGGGCTCTGTTGGGCACCAGGCCAGCTCCTCAGAGCTTGCTTTCTTGTCCCCTGTGAGATGCATCAACATTTAACTAAGACAGCGTTAACATCATCATTAAGCACTCTTGAACTTGGAGGGCCCCATCTGGTTTTGGTTTAACTGAACCAAATACTGCAAATGGAGACCATTGAGACCCAGGCCCATTTCTTGGGGTGGGAACAGAGCATCGAGATTGCCATCCCTACCTTGGGCAACTGGCAGGCGCTGTGTGCTGGGCCCTGCTTGTGGACACGTGGCTCTGTTCCTGCGAGCACCCTTGTGGCCGGAACTTGGAGCTGATCGCGAGGACCATTGTCCTGCTGGGAATGGCCTGCACACGGAGGAAATGCTCTCAGGATCTGAGATGAGGAATTGGTGATGCTGACATTTACCAAATTCTTCTTGAGGGTAGGAGCCACAATGGAGTATATAGTTCTGCAGGTAGGGCCCCCGAGTTACAGTTAAACTACAGGAGGTGGATTTATCTTCACTGTGGCCTTCTTCTAGAACTGATTGATGCTTAACCTTGTATCAGACTTCCAGACTTGGTCTTCAGAATATGACAGGTAGATGGTAAAGGCTTAATCCTATTAGGTTCAGCAATGTAATTACTTGGCAAATAAATTGAAAAATAACTGGTAGGTCACTCACTGTGTTCAGAGCCTAATTATTTCACAAGTACTTCTAAGCCTGTAGTGCCAGAGTGGTCCAGCTCTTGAGCCAGAAGTGAGAGGTCACGGGGGAAGTGAGAGGTCACGGGCAGTTGGGTCCCCCTGCTCCCTTTGAAGCCCAGCTAGGCCGCCGGGGAGGACTTCCTGACTCCCAGCTGGCACCCTTTGGCACCACTGTTTAGGGGGACCCCCTCCTCCCCAGGCAGTGAAAGCAAGCAATTTGCTTTCTGTTTCAGAGCTTCGCCCTGCGCAGCCTGACAGGTGGGAGGGGCCGAGGAGAAAGGTCTGGTTGAAAGAGGTCTAAGCCCCTGAAGCCAGCCCTTTTCAGTGTCCTGCATTTTGTGTGGCAAAATAGGCGGTGTGTCTTTTGTGTACCATGAATACCATCCATCTGCCGGGTCTCACGACTGGCTTCTTCAGTGACTGCAGCCCGAGTAACTGACAGCCTCCCGTCTGCTGCAGCCTTCCCAATGCACAGGCGCGGCTGGCTTTCAGACAAAGGCCTCGGGAGGCCCAGCACGCCCCTTCCCCGGGACGCCCCTGCTGGATGCGAGCCATTTATCCTGGGGTGGCTCTGCAGGGGACTTGTTGCGTCCCTGGACTCTCATGAAGCAGGCAGCTGGGCTCACCTCCGGTGGAACTGGACTTTCCTCTCTGCCAGCGTGTTTGCGCTTGCAGGTGGCCCGTGGGTGCCGTCCCAGTTCTCACAGCCATATCGACGTGTGAAACAGAGGTCTCCCTCCTCTAGAGGCAAGAGGATGAGGAGAAACAGGGTAGCTGGTGGGAAGAGACTGGGTTGGCACAGGCGGTGAGGGAGACCTGGTATGGCGTCTTAAGATTTACAGCGAGCTGGGGAAACAGGCAGGGCTGGCCCAGAGGACCTGGGAGGTTCCCTGTGGCCAGGGTGGGGCCTGGCAAGAGCACCCTTGTTCCTGACAGATGGGAAGCCAGAGAACAGGGAGAGCTGGTCTCTGTGCCGCTGCCACCACAAACCAATGGGGGAAATGGGGACAGATAGGCCGGCGGCTTGCCCACCCTCGTGGAGCGGGGAGGTGGCAGGGTCAGCGTTCATCATGGCAGGGGTGCTGACAGGCCTCTAGGACAGGAAAGAGGTGCATGTGCAGCTTTCTCAGGCCAGTGAAGAGGTTTGGGGTCAGCTTCGGGTCTGCAAGTTTCCAGTAAACAGAACCAAGACAGTATAGGAGGAGAATGTGGAAATTCCTGGTGCTCAGAATGAGCCGTGGGGACTGCCGCCAGGGTAGGGTGATGGGCGTGGGAAAGGGGTCCACCCACAGTGCTGCCCAGACTTGGTGCACCCCTCACTGCAGTCATGTGGCTTAGGTGCATTCTGTTTCTGTGTTCTCTGCCATCTGCCGCTAATTGGATGAGAGTATTAACTGTCCTTCCTCAGTTCTGTGTAATTTGAGACCTGGGAATATGGAACGGGTGATCCAGGGGTCACTGTGATTTTTTTCCCCCATGCATTTAAAGTGGCCTTGGCACACCAGTTGGTTTCACGTAGCCCACATAAGTGGGAACAGTATTTGGTCACTGGTAAGAGCTTTCTTGTTTACCCTTAGTTAAAGAGGAAGGTATGACTCAGAGAACTGGAAGTGGCGCTGTGGCTCAAGTGGTAGAGTGCTTGTCTTGAGCTGAAGAGCTCAGGGACAGTGCCCAGGCCCAGAGTTCAAGCCCCACGACCAACAAAAAAAAAAGAGGAAGGTATGTATTGTAAGCAAGTATGGTCTTTTAAGAGGAAGAATGAATTGTGACCTCCCACCTGCCATTGTGGGGTTTTTGCCTGTCCAGCCACCATGACTAGCATTCAGAGAAAACTTCCTTAGAAGACTGTCTGAGCTAGATGCTGAAGAGTCTGTGGAAATAGACCACAACACAGGAACCTAGCCCCATGCACGTTTGTGGAGAGCGGCAGAAGGTGCGGCCCAGGGTGTGTGGTCCTTTGCAAGGTGCGGGCAGTCACAGCACGACCTCCCTCCATCAGGACGGCAAAGGAATGAGTGTGAAGGAGTGTGTGATTTGCTGTGAAAGTGGCCATGTGTTCATAAGGAGCCCTTGCATTTAGAGGTGAATCAGGTAGATGTGGGTATCCGAGATCTTCTGGATGTTTCTAGGAGGGGGGGATTTGGTTGTGTTACTTACATGTTAGAAATTCTCTATAATAAAAATTTTAAGCACCTATAATCCTACCTCCTCAGGACGCTGATATCTGAAGATCATTGTCCAAAACCATTGAGGGCAGAAAAACTTACACCTGTTATTCTAGCTGCTTGAGAGTCCAAGATCTGAGGATCATGGCTCAAAGCCATCCAAGACAAGAATATTTGCAAAACTCCATCCCCAGATAACCAGCAAAAAAGCTGGGCTAGAGGCATGGCTCAGTTGGTAAAGTGCTAGCTATGAGTGAAAAAGCTAAGAGAGTGCACTAGTATTGGCATAAAAATATTTTAAAAAAACAAAACTTTAAAGATAGAAGGAAGTGCTGTGTGCTGCTGCTTTACCGCTGTGGCAGAAGCATCCCTGGGCCCGCGGGAGCACCTGGGATGGTGACTGCACCATGCTAACAGTTCAGTGAGGTCACTGTCCAGACCTGAAAGACCACAGTCACACACAGTGCACCTGCTCCATTGGAGGTGTCCTAGCCCATCTGACCCCTCTGCAAATGCTGCTTGGTGTCCCTGTGAACAGCTGGCCACTGGCTGCTGACAGCCACTGTGCCCTCTGCATTTCCAAACCATCAGACGGTCTAATTAGAAGACTGCAGCAAGGTACACTGCTGAGTGATTTGCAAGCACGTCAGAAATCAGTTTGCTCTGTTATCAGCGGTAGAAGACCCATCTGGCCAGGTGCTGGTGGCTTATGCCTGTAATCTGAGCTACTCAGAAGACAGAGAAATGTAAAGGATGGAGATTCAAAGCCAGACCAAGTAGGAAGTTCACTAGACTCCATCTCCAAAATAATCAGCATAAAGCTAGGTTGGAGGTGTGGGTCACATGGTAGATTCCAGCCAAGCAAACCAACAGCAGGCACAAGCTTGAAGTCCTGAGTTCAAACCATGGTACTAGCACATACATTGAGCTTGGACTGAAATGCCACTCTTCCATCCTGGCCCAGAGTGCTGCAACGCCAGTGTGGAGCATGTGGCCCCGTTCATTAAGGCAGCCGATGCCACCGAGGGTAGGGGAGCTTGCCGTTGGGCCCTTGGGGGAGCTGGAGTGCGGCTGCCCCACTGAAGGTCTCACTCCTGCCTTGCAGACTGGGCCACTGCCATCCGAGTCGCAGCTCTGGATTGTGCAGAAGACAAGAACCAGGAAGTGTGCCGAGCCTACGACATCCACTTCTACCCCACCTTCAGGGTAAGCCGCAGCTCTGTGATCTGGGGTGGCCCCACGCCACAGGGAGGTGTGAAAAGCTGAACGTACCACATTTGTAGCGCTGACACTGTCCATGTTTCTGGCTTTCGTGAAGCATGGTAGAAATTTATTTATGTTCTCAGCAGGTCACCTCCTGGGTCACAGAAGTCTGAGTGACTTACTTAGTCCCAGAGGCCTGTGATGGAGGTGGGTCTGTCCATCTGTGAAGTACACTGTCCCCACTTGGATGCAGAGTCCCTGCTCCCCACAACCTGTACCTGGGGGTGAGGGGTCGGTTGAATCCTGGGGTCTGCAGGTCAGCCCAGTGTAGCAGTACCTGTTTCTTCCACTAGGGGGCAGAGGTATAACCTGTGACCCCTTTGAAGGTCCACTGCATGTCACCCCTCCCTGTGCAGGGATGTATAGCCACAGAGCTTGCACACAAACACATCTCTGCGGTATGAGCACCTCCGAAGCATGCAGTGCCTTTGAGGTCACTTCTACAGAGCCTGTGCCCCAGTTCCTGAAGCCCTTGCAGTTCCTTGCTGTGCCATGAAGTGTGCTGGTAGAATCCCAACCCCATGTGTATGGCCTGGGCGCTCTCACCCTGTCTCCAGCCTGCTGCACCGTGCAGGCCCGTGCTCACTGACCTGGCAGGCCTGGGCTGCTTCATATTTTATTTTGCTTTTAACTTCAGGTCATATCGTGCTGGTTGCAAACTACTGAGCTTTCCTTTTTCCACTTAACTATGATTTTTCCAAGACTAACTCCTGGTTTTGGGTGTTCTGTGGACCGCTGGATTTGTCTGCTCATTTGCCCCTATTTTGTGGTGACCCTGCTGCGGGGTGTTGGACTTTCCCTGTTTGGTTTTTTTAAATAATTTTTATTGAGATTAGGTGAGATTTTATTAATTACATAAATTTCACAGTATTGTGAGATAATGATGCTTAAAGTCACAAACACACATTATAACCTTCACAAGGCAAATTGTCATTATCATGCTCCATAATGTTTGTGAATTCTATGAGCTTTGACAATACAGTTATTTCTCCCTGGCTTTCGCCACCTTGAACAGCACTGCTGTGAGCACTTTGCACCTGGGACAGGCTACCCTTGATGGCCTGGGAAGCAGTAGCTGGGCCAGGGGACCCAGGGATGTGGAGGACAGACCCAGTGGGCCGGCCTGTCCCAGAGTGTCTCATGTCTACCTGCGGGATAGGTGCAGTACGAGGCGCACTGTGGGTCATCTGTATTTCCCTGGTGACTTGTGGCCAGCATGTCTTTGTGGCCATATGGGTCTCTGTTTTCAGACGCATGCTTGTGCCATTTGCCCGTGCTTGTCTTGGCCATTTGTACTTCACTTACCGGTGTACAGAAGTCCTTTGGTGAAGAAGGTCCTTAAGTTAGTCTGAATCCTTTTCATCTTCTTAGAGGTGCTAGTAGTGACTCATTCTCCCTATAAATTCTGGTTGTCGTGGCTGCCCATTTGGCCTCATGTTTGATACCAAGAATCGAGGAATGTGTTGTCTTTTATGATTCAGCCCTGTCGTGTTTGGCTTCTAGTCCTGTTGGGTTAGAAATGTACGAAACAGAATTCTGATGGAAGTTTAGCCTTGCTCACTGGGTAACACTGGGGTGCAGAGAGACTTGACATGAGCCCTGGGAAAGGGGGCTCTCACCCTTGTTAAGTATTCAATGTATGCACAGCTCTCCATTCCAAGGCCATTTCTTATTTGTTGTGTGTGCTTTTTCCTCCCTCCAGTACTTTAAAGCTTTTACAAAGGATTTTACAACTGGAGAAAGTTTCAAAGGTAAGGACCATGCATTCCGTTAGACTCTTGTGGTTGGGCTCATAAACGTGTTAGTTAGAAGAAGGGCCCTTCCACTCACCATCAGCACGCAGCACAAGCTGTCAGCCTTTCTGTGAGGAATTCAACCTTAACAGTGTTGATGAGAATTGCTTTTTGTGTTTGGCCTTTCTTGGAAAATGTAGCAGTACATTTTTAACTACTTTTTTTTTTTTTGGTCGGTTGTGGGGCTTGAACTCTGGGCCTGGGTGCTGTCTCTTAGCTCTTCAGCTCAAGGCAAGCACTTTGCCACTTGAGTTACAGCGCCACTTCCAGTTTTCTGGTGGTTCATTGGAGATAAAGAGTTTCACAGACTTTCCTGCCCTGGTTGGCTTTGAGCCATGATCTTCAGATCTCAGCCTCCTGAGTAGCTAGGATTACAGGTGTGAGCCACCAGTGCCCAGCTAGCTATTGGGTTCTTAACAGGTGAGTAGCACCCACATGAAAGCCCGGAGTGCCTGGCCCCATGGGACATCATCTGGGAGACACCTGCCGTGTCTGGCATCCGGAGTCTGCCTGTGCTAGCAGTTGTGTTTGTGAGACTCATCACAGGAGCCGTATCCTCATAAACTTGACCTGTTGCAGCTGCATGGTGAATCCGCACTGTCCAACCCATGCCCTGCCCATCTACGTAGGGATACTTGGCAGGGTCACTGCGAATGGTGCTGCTGCCCACTGTGCTGGCCTCGGCTCTGGGGTGGGCAGATGTGCACAGACAAAGCTGTGATCAAGGCTTGCTTCTGCAGGACATGACAGGGAGCTGCAGACAGTCAGACACACGATGATTGACTTCCTGCAGAACCACACAGAAGGCACCCGGCCTCCAGCCTGCCCACCTCTTGACCCAATTCAGTGAGTAGCTCCATTACAGAGGTAGCATGGGGGCTGGGGTGTAGTGCCACTCAGCCAGCAGGAGGCCCTCTTCACTCCCAGCACCAAAAATGTAAAAAGTTGTGAGTGACATGGGTATCAGTGTGTGGTGACAGCCAGCTATGGTCAGGGACATTGAAATCTTCTCTTTTTTTTTCTCTTTCCTGAAAGGCCCAGTGATGTCCCTTCCCTCTTGGACAGCCACGGTGGCCGGTATGTGGCCATCATGTTTGAAAGCAATGGCTCCTATGTTGGACGAGAGGTACTGTATGGACCTGGGCTCAGGGCTGGGCTGTTCCTGGGCTTAGGGCTAAGTCAGGTTTGTGGGCAGTAAGAATCACCGAGCATCATTGCTTGTGTTCCTCTCAAGTTCTCGTCAGTTACCAGGATCCTAGTTTATCTTTTCAGCCAGTTTACTGGAATGAGGCTTTGAGGGCCGATGGTGTGGCTTCAGTGGTAGAGAACCTTCCTGCCAAACACAAGGCTCGAAAGTTAAACCCCAGTGCTGCAAGAGAAACAACAATGAAAGTGTTGTGTTTGAGGGTAGGCCCTGGCTGCCCCTTCCCTTCAGGCCATTTTTTTTCTCCCTCTGCACTGTCACCAAGCTCTTCTCTTGGCTGGACTCTGGACTCGACTTATTTGCCACATGCAGGATTCTGCCGATCCTTGTTTCTTCTGTGAGACATTCTGTGGTTCTGAAGCCTCTGATTTTACCAAGTATAAATAAAATCATGACCAGGCACCGGTGGCTCACGTCTGTCATCCTAACTACTCACGAGGCTGAGATCTGAGATCTGTGGTTGAAAGCCAGCCTGGGCAAGAAAGTCCATGAGACTTTTATCTCCAGTTAATCACCAGAACACCAGAAGTAGTGCTGTAGCTCAAAGTGGTAGAGCACTATCCTTGAGTCAAAAGAGCTCAGGGTCAGCGCCTAGGCTCTGAGTTCAAGCCCCATGACCAACAAAAATTAAAGGTGCCACTCCTGAGACCCCTGTGCCATGGAGACCCGCTGCCGTGCCTGCAGCCTGAGCAGAGCTGGATGGACACAAGTTACTTGGCTCAATGTGGCCCGAGGCCACCTGGGTCCCAGCTGGACTGACAGCTGTGTTGCTTCTGGAGACAGCCCGGCAGTGAGGGTACATGCCACCCAACTTGGTGGGAGAGCACACGTGGCTGTCAGGGTATAGCTGATAGGTGGTGAAGGTGCTACTTAATCAGTGTAAACTTTATAGGAGATGTGCTGGCTTTAAAGGTAAAGCAAAATTTCAGTTCTGTCATCTTTGGTCTGGAAACTTGCTAAGTGACCTTGTAGTTTCTGCCCATGGGTGTGCAACCCTTGAATGGCGTAAAATGGACTAATAAAATGATAGTACAGGGGCTGGGAAGGTGGCTCAGTGGTAGAGCGCTTGCCTTGCATGCATGAGGCCCTGGGTTCGATTCCTCAGCACCACATAAGCAGGAAAAAAAGCCGGAAGTGGTGCTGTGGCTCAAGTGGTAGAGCACTAGCCTTGAGCTGAAGAGCTGAGGGACAGCGCCCAGGCCCAGGCCCCATGACCAGACCAAAAAAATAAATAAAATGATAGTGCAGACTCTGGTCTCACTTGTGGCAAGGTGAAGACTGAGTGATGAGTGGCGCTTTCTCATTTCCATGACTGTGGTGCTGTGGCACTTGTTACCCACGGGGACAAAACTGCATGTCATGCCACAGCAGCCCACAGGCAGGAAGGCCGTGCTGCTGCGCCACGAGGTTCACGTGGACAGTGCCCCGGGCAGAGCTCATCACCTGATGACCAGAGCCTTTCACCGCAGCCGTGCCTGTGAGGTGGAGGTCCTCCCGGTGAGGGTGACACGGTCTTTTCCTCTTCCAGGTGACCCTGGACTTGATCCTATATGAAAACATCATGGTGAGCAGGGCACTGGATGGGGACAAGGTGTTTCTGCAGTCACTGGGGGTTTCTTCAGTTCCTTCCTGTTACTTGATTTACCCAAATGGATCTCAAGGAGTAATTAATGTGTAAGCACTAGTTTGGCTTAAGGAATATTTTTTATGTATGCCAGTCCTGGGACTTGAACTTGGAGCCTGGGTATTGTTCCTGAGCTTTTGTGTTCAAGGTTAGTGCTGTGCCACTTAAGCCACAGCTCCACTTCTGGTTTTTTTTTTGGGGGGGAGGGGTTTGTTGTTGGGTTTTTTGTGTGATTAATTGGAGATAAGAGTCTCATAGACAGCTGGATGATGGTGACTCAGGCCTATAATTCTAGCTACTGAGGAGGCTGAGATCGGAGGATTGCAGTTCAAAGCCAACCCAGGCAGGAAAGTCTGTGAAACTCTTATCTCCAATTACCCACCAGAAAACCAGAAGTGGTGCTGTGGCTTAAAGTGGTAGAGCCCTAGCCTTGAGCAGAAAAGCTCATGGACAGTTGAAGCCTCACAGCCAACAACAACAATAAGAAAGTCTTATGAAATATTTGCTATGTTTGGTGGGATCTGAGGAAATCTGTGCCCCTTGGAAAGCAGGCTAAGTCCAGGGACCAAAATCTGAGGAAGCCCTGGACCTGGCTACATTCCCTGTACTTGTCCTGGCCAGACTCCTGGAATTCATTGTCTGGGTTGCATTTTCATGAGTTTCTAAACAAACCCAAATCCAGGAAGATGTCTCTTTTCTGAATCCTGGCTCCTGGCTGCTCTGTCTGTCCATTGGCTGTGAGCATGGGTGCCTGCTCTAAAATGAGAGGCAGGGTAAGCCCTGCCTCAGGAGAAGCGTACAGTGTGTTGACTCACACCTCACGGGCAGTGCTTTACCTAAGAGTGCTAATGAGAGCCGCGTGAGGCTCCAGGAGACAGAAGCCCTCATGTGCCCAGTCGTCCCGTTTCTCCCCCCTTAGCCCCCACCCCCGCCCACCGCCCAGTGTAGTGCCTCTAGCCCCATAGGACAATGCCATGAGCATGAATGAACCTGCAAGCAAGCAGATGGGGAAGCTTGGTGAGGCCCCACTGCCTCAGGGGAGCCTGTGGCCTCCTGGCTGCTCCTTCTGTGGGAGGGCAGGATGAGGCCTGCTCTGCCTGCCCTGCCTGGGGCTGTCTTTGCCCCTGGCCTCTAGCGTGAAGGCCCCTGGTTGTCAACAGACCTCCAGCGGGAGTGCAGTGGGTAAGAATACTGGATTCCCACACCCAGGTGCATCCCAGAGCCAGGGCACACCTCAGGCATCGCGCAGGGTTCCTGGCGCAGGGGCTTTTCCCCAGCACCTTCAAAGGTTTACAGGACAGTGAGGATCCAGCATAGTTCCTTATGGAAAAAACAGTAGCCAAGGCCAGCTCCTCAGAGGGGAGGGGAGAGCTGGAAAAATCAAGACCAGTCCTAAACAAAAATGTCAGATCCTATTAGAAAACGGTGAAAGCAGAAGGGGCTGAGTGCATGGCTCAAGGGGTGGTGCACTTGCCTAGCTTGAGTTCAAACCCCAGTCCAGTACTACCAAAAAAGAAGTTGGGGGAAGCTGAGGAGGCGGGAGCTTGTCTGTCTCCACAGCTGCTGTTGGTTCTGAGGTGGCAGCACTGAAAGAGTGGAGCCCGCCCGCGACTCCGCCTCAGCGGCCCTGCTGCGGCCTCAGTGGAAATGGGGAGCTGCACCTACTGGCTGCAAGTAGCACCCCCCCCAGAACCCTGCAGAGAGCCAAGAGGTGCCACCCCCAGGCTGAGCCCCCAGGCCTGGCTTCCAGATGCCTGCTCAGCTGGCAGATTGTAGGCATGTCGGCCAAGGCTCTTAGGCACGTTGAGATCACAGTTGGGATAAAGCTGATCTTAGCAGATGCTCAGACCAGCTTTACCCATGTCTTAAGATCCCGCCAAGCGCCCATGAATCTTCTTATGCCTCTGTAACTCGTCAGTGATCTGTGGATTGTTGTTCTCAAGCGGGAGGACAGCCCTTGAATCCAGCCATGGCCACCGTCCACTGCTGCCTCTGGCCCCTTTGTCTAGCTGACATGAGCCCAGAGTGAATACAGCTGTCTTGCAAATGGGGAGTCCATCCATAATCATGGGCTAGCTGGTGTCTCACACCTGTAGCCCTAGCTACTCTGGAGGCTGCGAGCTGAGGATCATGATTTGAAGACAGCCTGGGCAGAACATTATATGAGACTAACTCCTCTTAGCCAGCAAAAAAGCCTGTAGAAGACTAGCTCAGGGTGAAAAAGCTGAACAAGAAAAGCACGAGGCCCTGAGTTGAAGCCCCAGTACCGGTGCCACATGCCACATACACGTGTGCCTGCACACAGCCCTAACCACGGTGTAGGGATGACCGCACAGCCGTGGTCTCTCACAGCCCCGGGGGGACAGCCCAGGGCAGCTTCTGGTGTGTGCGGACACCTCCACCTCCTTTCTTGCAGAGCAAAGCCTCTTCGGTCGTTTTTCTCCTCTTATTTGAAGTCATTGCCAGGTGTGAAGAAAAGATCTCTTTCCTTGCCTGAAAAACCAAGCACAGAAGGACACTCAGAGGTGGTAGTTTGGAGAGAATTTGACAGGCACGTATGCGCTTGGGACAGGACGGGGGTGGGGGTGGGGGTGCCCGGGGGGCGGTGCCTGCCGGGAAGGACACTCAGACTCCCCTGGCACAGGGGCTTTACAGATCTGACTTTCCCGTTGTCCATCTCAGGGCCAAGCTGTACATGGCAGACCTGGAATCCGGGCTGCACTATCTGCTGAGAGTGGAGCTCGCCAGCCACAGGTCCCTGGCTGGAGCGGAGCTGAAGACCCTCAGAGACTTCGTGACCATTGTGGCCAAGGTATGGGACAGCTGGGTGGCCAGGGGCTCTGTAGGAGGGAGCCCACCTCGGGTAGATATCCCTCCTTCCTTCCAGTGGCTTCCTCCTGCATTGTGATTCCTCAGTCTGTTTCCTGGATGCCTACTGTGTGCCTGAGGCAGGTAGAGATTTGGAGCCGAGAGGCTGGGGACACACTGAGCGTATTTGAAAGGCTGGACTCTGGCTGCCTGGAGAGGGGAGGGCACGGACCTCACACCCCTGGTCAGGGAGGTTCAGGGGTTTTGAACTGGGGGCTGCATGGTGGCTAGTGTGGATGTGGCATTGTAAAGGTCCTGGGAGCTTACCACTTCCTACTACCCCACCAAAAATGTGTCTCAAACCAGGCTAAGGCCTCCAGGGGAGAGGAGTCAGGGTCCCAAGGAGCTTGGGTCCTCTAGTGCCTAGGTCAAGCTGTGGAGGAGCATCTGAGAGGTGGCCAGGATGCCTGAAGTCTTCCAGAAGCTGTGTGAGGAAATCCTTTCCAGGCACGGGGTGTGGAGCCCAGCCTTGGTGAGGGTGAAGGGGGACCTGACCAGGCTTTGATGACCAAATACCACCAGCTTGCCAAAGGTACGCACTCCCCAGCCAGCCCGAGCCAGACAAGTGGCCCAGGGTGCTGAGCTGAGTGCTGTGCTGGAAGGTTCAGACAGTGCCAAGAGTGGGATCCTAGACCCAGGGGCAGACGGCCAGGAAGGTGCCAAGGCCCTGGGGGGGACAGCGGCTGTTCCCAGACCCAGGGGCAGAGGGCCAGGACGGTGACAAGGCCCTGGGGGGGACAGCGGCTGTTACCAGACCCAGGGGCAGAGGGCCAGGACGGTGCCAAGGCCCTGCAGGGGAACAGTGGCTGTTCCCAGACCCAGGGGCAGAGGGCCAGGACGGTGACAAGGCCCTGGGGGGGACAGCGGCTGTTACCAGACCCAGGGGCAGAGGGCCAGGACGGTGCCAAGGCCCTGCAGGGGAACAGTGGCTGTTGACACAACACCTCCCGGGCCAGCCAGGACACCTCAGCTTGGCTGGGTGCCTGATGTAGGGTTACCTGGGTACTGAGGCACATGGTTATCAGTCTTAGGCTCCCACCAAGAACTTGTAGCCTCATGGTTCAGAATCAAGGGTGTGTTGTCTTCTGGGTCCAGATGTTATTTTGGCAGAGATGAGGGAAGAAAGCCATCCTGGTCCCTGAGCAAAAGCCCAGGCCTGCATGCTGTTGACCACAGCAGCTCTTTGGCCTGACTGCAGCTCTGATGCCCTCTGAACTCTGGCACAGCCCACCCCAAGCCACCTCCCCTGACCCTGCTGCTGGGCCCAGGTCTGTGCAGTGGGCACAGGTATAACACCACTGCCACCAGCTCCAGGCTCCCCAGCTAGCTCAGGCCGGAGGGCGGCTCCACAGGGGTAGGAGTAGAGCACTACTCTAACCAGAGGGCTGGACCCCAGGGGGACCATTTCTGTTCAGCCATTTGAATAGCTACTTACAGTAGGATATAGGAAAGCAAAAGAAGTTGAATTTATATTTAAATAAACAAATGCGTTGTATGACATTTCAGACAAAGAAGCAAATACTGTTTATTTAGTTAGTTAGTTATTTTTGCGTCTGGTTGTGGGGCCTGAACTCTGGGCCTGGGCGCTGTCCCTCAGCTCTTCAGCTCAAGGCTAGCGCTCTACCACTTGAGCCACAGCGCCACTTCCGGCTTTTTTCTTTTTTCTTATGTGGTGCTGAGGAATCGAATCCAGGGCCTCAGGCATGCAAGGCACATGCTCTACCACTGAGCCATCTTCCCAGCCCCAGAAGTGAATACTGTTTAGAGAGACTTCTTTTATACCCATTGTGCTATTCAGAGTTGAGGCCACACAAGCTGACCCCATTTTTTTAGGAAATTGCCCCCCTTGGGACTGGGAAGGTGGCTCAGTGGTAGAGTGCTTGCCTTGCATGCATGAGGCCCTGGGTTCGATTCCTCAGCACCACATAAGCAAAAAGAAAAAAGCCAGAAGTGGCGCAGTGACTCAAGTGGTAGAGCGCTAGCCTTGAGCTGAAGAGCTGAGGGACAGCGCCCAGGCCCAGAGTTCAGGCCCCACGACCGGACCCAAAAAAAAAAAAAGAAAATGCCCCACTTACCTGCCTAGCCTGACCTCGCTGCAGCTCCGCACTGGTGCCCTGTGTGTACAGCCGTCCCCCTCCCCCAGGACGTGTGGCTCTGTCTTCCTTCCCACCTGGCCTTTCTCCTTCGGGTCAGCCAGGGCCCAGGTAGAGGGCGAGGGCCTCATATGTGATGGAACCCTGAGATCACAGCTGACCATGAATGACCGTTCCAAAATTTACCCAGGTATCTGAAAACAAATTCATTTCTGGTCAGTTTAGGAAAAGAACTGTTTTAGTGTTAAAATGTACTACTTCCAAGTTCCTTAAGCAGGAATGCTGCACAGGGCATCAGTGCCTTTAGAAGGCCAGCAGCCCTTGACAGTCGGATACTGCCACATTCTGTGACTGGGTCTTCCACCCTGAAGTAGCCACCCGGTGTGTGAACAGGTAGAGAGGCAGAGGTGGTGGGGCGCCAGTGGTTCATGCCAGTAATCCTAGCTACTCCAAAGGTGGAGATCATAGTTTGAAGCCAGCCCAGTCAGGAAAGACCATGACTCTCAGCTCCAATTAACCACTAAAAAGCTGGAAGTGGCACTGTGGCTCAAGTGGTAGAACACTAGCCTTGGGCACAAAAGCTCAAGGACAGTGTTCAGGCAGGCCCACAGTTCAAGCTCCAGGGCCAGCAAAAAGAAAAAAAAAAGGGAAAGGCATAGGTGGTCAAGATGCAGAGGGCAAGCTGGAGAATGGGGTTGTGGTCACCATCTACCCTGTACCACCTGGGTCTCCCGTCGTGGAACCCTGGTTCTGAGAGAAGCCCCCTCTTAGTTCTCAATGGAGTCCCTTGGTGTGGGTCTTAGATTGGGTTCTTTGTGCTCTGCCACCTGGACCACAGCCCACTGAGGTCCCCTGGGGTTCCGGGGTGCACGAGTGCTCTGTGGAGCACTTAGGCTGTATCCTTCCTCACGCAGCTGTTCCCTGGCCGACCTCCTATCAGGAAGCTGTTGGAGATGCTGCAGGAGTGGCTGACCACCCTGCCTCTGGACAGGATCCCCTACAATGCCGTCCTTGACCTGGTCAACAACAAGATGCGGGTGAGTCCTAGACCCCTGTCCAGCACGGGCGCCCCTACAGGCTACAGAGCTTCACCTCTCACCCTCCGCCTCATGTGCATCTTCCTGCCTGCCTGCACTCAGGACCCGTGGTCTACAGGGGGAAAAAAACCATACTTCCCTGCGCTGTCACCTCGGCCTTGACACTACTGGCCTGGCATTGCCCTTGGGGCCCACAAGGCAGACTCCTGTCTTCTTTTGAGAGTGAGCAGGCCCAGTGCATTCACAGGTCCATTTCCCGGACAGCACCAGGTTACTCCCTTGCCTGCCCAGTGTGTACCGGTGCAGGTCACTGAAGGCTGGTAGCCACGGGCACGCTGTGACAGCTATCTTGTGGGGAGCAGCACTAGGGTTGGGGAGTTGCCTTGGGTTTCTTGGGTGTCGTGGGGGTTGGCACAGGGTCTCTGTGGTCCTTCTGCCTCAGCTTCCCAAGTGTCAGGATTATAGCTCTGTCTACCACATCTGCCTCAGCTTCCCAAGTGTCAGGATTATAGCTCTGTCTACCACATCTGCCTCAGCTTCCCAAGTGTCAGGATTATAGCTCTATCTACCACATCTGCCTTGGTCTGTTTTTGTTTTAACTACACTAAGCTCTAATTTTTCCATACCTAGTGGTGATGTGTTTGGTGAGCATGGAAGGTTCCAGAGACCGTCCCTTGGATTACCCTGTATGGTCTCCCTCCTGCTGCCCGTCTCTGGCCCTGAGTTTGACAATAGTAAACCCCTCGCTGACTGTCAGCCACACCTCTGACTGAGCTAGTGTTCCAGACCTCTGGCCAGGGAATCTGCGCATCAGCACTGCCAACTCTGTCTTATGGTAGCATCTGAGAAACAAACAGTGCTGGATTCTCACCTTTATCTTTCTTGCACTTTCTCTCCAAACTTTGGGCTGCTGTGCTGTCCTGCAGCATGACATAGATGTGGAGGATGTGGTGCCCACAGAGGCCCGCGCTCAGCAGCCCTCGGGAGGCAAGATAGGTCCTAGCACCCACCAGAGGAAACGGACTGCATGAAGCCTGGGCAGTCGGGGTGCACTGGGCCCCTGTCCACTTGGGCCCTCTGCTCTTGAGCCACACTTTTGCCTCTGCAGAGTGTGCACACCATGCCACTTGAATTGTTTATGGGTAGCTCTTTGTGGTTCCTACATCAAAATGGATCCGGTGTTAAAAGAAGGGAGGGCCAGGCATCAGCAGCTCACACTTGTAATTCTAGTTACTCAGGAGCTCTGAGGATCTTGGTTTGAAACCAGCCCAGGCAGGAAAATCTGTGAGACTCCTCTCTCCAATTCAGCCCCTCAAGCAATAAAGCTAAGGGACAGTGCCCAGGCCCTGAGTTTAAGCCCCAGGACCAGCACCAAAAAAGAGGAGGGGCCTTTCATGCTTAATATCGTTTATCAAGACACAGATAGGCCTTCCTCTCCAGCCAGAGATTGAAAAAGAGCAGCTGTGGGCTGGGCTGACTGAGCAGTAGGCCTCTCTGTTCTTAGACTCTCTCAGTGCTGTCACATTTATCAGTCCCGAGAGTGTCACCTCGCTAGGGTTAGAGGCCCAGATCTGTTGTGCACGTGAAAAGCTTAGTTTTGTTTTTGTTTTTGTTGTTAATTTTTATTCATTTTTTTCTGGTACTGGCTTCACACTCTTGCTCAGCTTTTTCTACTCAGGGCCTAGAGCTTTTCAACTTAAACCACACCTCCAGTCCCAGCTTTCTGCTAGTGAATTGGAGAAAAGAATCTAACAGATTAATGTGTCCTGGCTGGCTTCGAATCATGATCTTCAGATTATGGGATTATAGACCTGAGCCACAAGCGCCTGGCCCAGTGAGGAGGTTTTGATGAATGACACTACCTACCCTCAGTGGTTGTCTTAAATTTTAACGGTTGTCTTATGTCCCTTGTTCTTCTTCCCCAGATATCTGGAATCTTTCTCACCCACCATGTAAAGTGGGTGGGATGCCAAGGCAGCAGACCTGAGCTGAGGGGTTACCCCTGCTCCCTCTGGAAGCTGTTCCACACTCTGACAGTTGAGGCCTCGACCCGCCCAGAAGCACTGCTGGGCACAGGTACACCATCCCCTGACCAGCACAGCCCTGGCCAGCGCGGCACTAACACACGTCACAGGAAGCCCCTGGGAGGGCTTGTCTCACCGTCCACTACGTACTGTGCCACCCACGCGCCCACAGGCACGTTAGCGGGAGGGTGGGGAGTGTTCTCTCAGAATATCCACAGAAGTGCCACCCGCCGTGGCTGTGGGTTCCACTCTCTTTAACTTACAAGCACACACATTTACCTAGAAAAAATAGATGGGTGAGACCTCCTCAGAGAGGTGTGTCAGTTATCAGTTGCTGCATAACAAATTCCCCCCAATTGAGCAGCTTAAGCCATCCCAGCTTTATTTTCTCTGTTACTTGGGTCAGAATCCAGGTGTGGCTTAACATGGGTGCTCTGCTTCAGGCTGAGGCCCAGGCCTCAGCCAGGGTGGACTGGGCGCAGAGCGGTCTCTTCTTTATTCCTTTCCATGGGACCTGCCACCTGTGGCCAGCTTCATAAGAGCCAGCGGCTGGAGAAGCCCGGTGCTCACTGACCAACCCTGGTTGGAAGCAAGTTGCTGGCCCACCCTGCTCCCAGGGGAAGGGCCTGGGCCAAATCTGAGGCTAAGAGAAGGTTTGATGGCGTTACAGAACATAAAGACAAATCACCTCTGCTTCCTTCCTCACAGGGCACTGGTGTGCGCTGGGTTTTGTGTCCCCGCCCCAGCAGGCCCAGGCAGCTGTGGCAGTAGACACATGTCTGACAGCTGCTATGTTGAGTCTCTCGGGTCCCTGTGTGTCTACATTAAGCTAAAGCCCAGTCCTTTGGCTTAGGCAGGGTGTCCTGCTGTCCAGAAGCACTGCAGACCCCTTGTTGCCTTTGCCACGGTGCAGAGTGCTGTGGTATGGTATACATCAGGGCCACCCTGTCCGCTCAGCACTCGGGGTCAGAGCAGTGTGCTGTAGACTAGGTGCAGAGTGCTGTGGTATACATCCGGGCCACCCTGTCCGCTCAGCACTCGGGGTCAGAGCAGTGTGCTGTAGACTAGGTGAGGTAGATCGTTCCATGGACTCCTTCCCGCAGCTGTGGCCGTCTGAGGCACCTCGCATTCAGGGGACCTGGGGTTGCTCTCACTCCCCCAGGCCAGTCCCAGCATCCTGCTGGCTGGCACCAGGGTGAGGAGGAGCTGGGCACTGAGGAGGTTGCTGGGCACCAGGTGGTGAGGAGGACGCTGGACGCAGGGTGAGGAGGACGCTGGGCACTGGGGAGGACGCTGGGCACTGAGGAGGAGGAGCTGGACATGTCAGGAAACTTTATGTCACACTCGCCCCTCTGACCACATCCTGCTGGTATTTACAGAACTCAGGGCTGGGAGATGGATGCTGCCTGTCTAAAGCACAAAGTCACATTGCAAAAATGACCTAGGTCAAAGGTCGTCTTTACCCTCTCTCCTCAGGGCAGTGAAGGTTACAGTTTCCCAGAGTCCAGCGGGGGAGGGTGGCTCTTAAACCCATACTCCCAAGAGAATCAGAAAAAGGGAGGAAAAAAAGAGATCAAAGGGAATGCCTTGAGAATAATCAAGAGGAACTGAAACCAGAACGGGGTTCAACATGATTTAATGCACAGACCTGAAAACATGAGGCAGATCCCATCTGGGGGCTCTAGAGAGAAAGGTGGAGCCCGCCCGGGGGCCCCCTGTGTGTGACTAAGGAGAGCTTGAAGGCAGCTCATGAGGGCCAGTGACAGGTCCTGGGACGCTCCGTGCGGCCCGATGGCAAAGCTGGCTCAGGACCCTGTTCCAGCTGGTGAGAAGCTGGACTGTCCCACAGAGGCTCGGCGCTCCTCCCGTCGCCGAGAGGAATTGGGTCAGACAGCACGGGATTAAGTCTTGGAGGTTTTCTTTCCTTATTGCACATTTAAGCCCCATCTCCTAAAGCGCCAGCCACGCATCCTAATCCTCCCCCAGGTAGAGGTTTAGGGTTCGTGTCCACTTTAAAGATTAGGCCCCGGGCAGGCGGCACAGTGGCTCCTCGGGAAGAGAAGGGGATTACTGCAATGCCAGGCAGATGTCTGGAGACCTCCTCCTTGTGCACGAGGTCAGGCGGCCTGGTCACAGCCAGTGCCCTGCCTCACCCTGGCACCGCCTGCCGCCTGGAGGATGCTCACAGCCAGCCAGACTCCATGGTGTGCGGCCTCTCACCTTCTCTGAGGGCATGGACCAGGAGCCTAGTGGTCAGTCCAGACCCAGGGCCTCTGGCTGACAGATACCACCTGGGCCTGCTGTGGACAGATGGCTCCACCGTCTTAGAGAGAACAACCTGGTCACTCCACTGAGTTTTATTTTGTTTTGTTTTGTTTTTTGCTTTGTTATGTTGTATTGTACCAGTCCTGGGGCTTGAATTCTGGTTCTTTCAGGGTTGTTTTGTTTTGGTTTGTTGTTCCAGTCCTAGGGCTTGAACCATGGGCCTGGGCACTGTCCCTGAGCTCTTCAGCAAAAGGCTAGTGTTCTACCACTTTGACCCACAGTGCCACTTTCAGTTTTCTGGGAGGCTAATTGTAGATAAGAATCTCACGGACTTTCCTGCATGGGCTGTCTTTGAACCTCAATCCTTGGGTCTCAGCCTCCTGAGTAGCTAGGATTATAGGTGTGAGCCAATGGCACCTGCCTCTTTTTGAAATTTTTATTTATTGTGGTACTGAAATTTAAAATCAGGGCTTCGTACTTGCTTGGTAAGTGCTCTACCTTAAGACACACCTCCAGTCATTTTTGCAGTGTTTTTGTTGGCTTGGTTTGGTTTGGTTTGATGCTGGTATCTGGTACCAAGACTTGAGCTCTTTTGCTTGGCTTTTTGCTTACAGTTGGTATTCTACCACTTGAGTCATGCCTCCAATCTGGCTTTTGCTAAATAATTGAACATAGGATCTCCTGGACTTTTCTGCCCAAGCTGGCTTTGAACCAAGGTCCTCTGATCTCAGCCTCCTGAGTAGCTAGGTTTATAAGTGTGAGCCACTGGTGCCCTGCTTGTAAGGATTATTTTAGAGTCTTGATTCTTACCCAGGCACACACCTGAAACAATCGTTTTGTTGCTTCCTGCCATAGCTGGGTATGTAGCTAGGTCTTGCTGAACCCCCTGCCCCCCAGCTTCTTTGTGTTGAGATGTGTTTGGACTCCTCTGCCTCATGGCCTGGCCCCTCCTGATCTCCGGAGGAGAGACAGGATGATGGGGTTGAGATGGGGTCTTACGTATACATTGCCGAGCCTCCTAACTCATCCTCCCCATTACCTAAGCTTATGGGTGTGAACCACTGGCACGCAGCTTGAACTCAAGGCCTGAGCTTTACCACTTGAGCCATAGCTCTGCTTCTTCCAGCTTTTTGGTGGTTAATTGGAGATAAGAGTCTCACAGACTTTGCTATCTGGGCTAGCTTTGAACCACGGTTCTCAGGGCTCTCAGCCTCCTGTGTAGCTAGGATTACAGGTGCCCAGATTTACGGGTGCCCAGCTTGACCTTCCCATTTTGAGAGTCTTTCTATGTAGCTTAGACTAGACTAGAACTCACTATGTAGCCCAGGCTGTCCTTGAACTCAAAATCCTCTTGTCTTAGTCTTCCATGTGCTGGGACTACACGTGTGTGCCACCAGCAGGTTGTTTGCTTTTCAAATCACCACCATTTGGAGGGGTTCCGCCGTTGTGAAGAGTGCAGTCTCCAGCAGACCGGCTGTCACGCCGGCCCCCTGAGGCTCCCTGGCTGCTGCCTGCCCGCCCGGGAAAGTCACCCTTCCACAGCAAAGGGGCAGTGGATGGCCTTGCTGCCCCAGCAGGGCCCACACCGCCTGCGGGTGCTGCTGTGGGTCAGGAGAGATCACGCACAGCTGGCAGGCCCTGAGGCCAAGGCAGAGGCAACCGTGAGCCTGGCCTGACACGTCCCTTTTAAGGACCTGCGAGAGTCTGAATGTCTGAGTGCTTGAGCTCAGTCGTAGTGCTCACCGGATCTCCATGCTGGTGGCAAGCTTCCTGTCTGGTATGGGTACTGTTGAGCCATGCGTAGGAACACTCTTGCACACCTGCTTGTGCTAGGGTGTCTGGGCTGTATGCACAGGCTGCTCTGTGGAGACACGGGCAGCCTGTGAACACTGAGACTTGGCTCTCGAGAGCAGTGGCTCAAGCTGGACTGGATGGCGGTGGGCTCCAGCGCCCTGGCTTTTTCCCCTGCAGGCCTTGAGGATGACCCGGGGGCTGTGCTGCAGACCGTAAGGAGGTACATCCACACTTTCTTTGGGTGCAGAGAGTGTGGCGAACACTTTGAGGCAATGGCCAAAGAGTCTCTGGACACAGTGAAGACACTCGACCAAGCCGTCCTCTGGCTGTGGAGGAAGCACAACGCCGTCAACAGCCGCCTGGCAGGTGAGTGAGGCCGGCGCCCGAGCGGCCGCCGGGCGGGTGAGGGAAAGCTGGCCCTCAGCCTGGAGGCCTGGGACCTGTGTGGGGAGGGCGGCATGCTGTGTGCGCGCGTCTTGGCTTTTCCTGAGCTCCCAGGTGCTGTGCGTGAATGGCTGGCCCTCCCAAACCACTGTGTCTTGGCTCCCCAGCTGGCCCTCACCCAGGCGGCTGTGACTTTCTGGTAGCCTACCACCCATATCCCCTGATTGTAATTGGGATATTGGAAAACTTGGAGTATAATTATTGGTAAGGAATTTAATTTTTTTTAATCTATTCTTAGCTGGGTGCTAGTGGCTCACACTTGTAACCCTAGCTACTCAGAAGGCTGAGCTCTGAGGATTGCAGTTTGAAGCCATCCCGGGCAGGAAAGTCTGTGAGACTCTTACTGCCCCATAAACTCCCCCCCCCCAAAAAAAAAAAAAAAGCTGAGTGCCAGTGGCTCATACCTGTAATCCTAGCTACTTAGGAGGCTGAGATCTGAGGATTGCAGTTCAAAGCCAGCCTGGACAGGAAAGTCTATGAGACTTTATCTCCAATAGACTACTCAAAAAAAAAAAAGCCAGAAGTAGTGTTGTGTCTCAAGTGGCAGAGCACACACCTTGAGCAAAAGGCTTAGGAACAGTACCTAGACCCAAAGTTCAAGCCCCAGGACTGGCAAAATAAAATAACCCCCCAAAAAACCAGAAGCTGAGCTGTGGCTCAAATGGTAGAGTGCTAATCTAGAGCAAAAATGCCCAGGGACAGTGTCCAGGCCCTGAGTTCAAGCCCTAGGATCACTACACACACATGCACATACACATACATACACACACAAATAGACTGTAAGCCCAGCCTGTCTTTGGGGTTAGTCTGTAACCCCATAAGGTGGTTTTGTTTTTAAAAACTACGACATATGTGTTCTCTCAGAGTTAAGTAAATTCAAAGTATTCACAAATCAATGGCAGATTAAAATTAGGCTTAAGAATAATTCTACTGAGAAATAAATTTAATAAGGATGAATAGAAAATGCCCCTAAATGGTTGGTTTTCATTTAATCCACTGTATTATAAAACATGACAACTAAAGCACTAAAGAGAATTGGTTTTCCTTTGCGCTAAGAGCTGAGGGGCCTCATGGTGAGGGATTTCCTCGTCCCTGTCAGCTGCTGTCCCAGGCGCGCAGCCTATGAGGCTGAGGTGTCCTCCCAGACGCCTCCCGCCCCGCCCCGCCTCCCCCAGTGCTGCGCTCTGAGGCAGCCAGCTGGCTACCCAGCCTTGAGCGCCCACTTCACTGGGCTGCAGCAAGATGGGGCTGCGCGTGTCCATCCACGGGTGTGTGCCAAGCCTCCTCACCAGCCCCCAGGCCTGCCTCCAGCAGGCCTGTGGAGGGAGGGAGATCCGACCCAGCTCTCCTGCCCAGAGTCAGGCCCCCGAGGACATGATAGCTCTCCGTGTCCACCGTGAGTTCATCCAGGTTGTCCACTGGGCAGTGACCCCAGAGGACGCGGCTGGCCTCGGCCTCGTCCCCTCCTTACACGTGGCACCTAGCAAGCAAGTTAGGTAAAGGGCCAAGCATAGCCAGCATATCCAGCACACACTTGAGAAACCTTGAGGGTGGTCAGCAGGCCAGGGCAGCTGTGGCAGCCAAGAGGCACCGAGGGCCTAGGCCTGTGCGGTGGGAGCATCTGTAGTCCTTGGACTGGTTCAGCAAAGGGGTCTGGAGCTGGACACTGGGGGATGCCTGCGCACTGCCAGTAAGAGGACAGTGGCTCAGCGTGTGTGCTCCACATAGCCCCGGCCGCACGGTGCCTCCGTTCACAGGGCACACCTCTGTCCGGTTCCTGGGCTGACCAGCTTTCTGCATAGCAGTCCTTGGTTAGAATTTTGGTGGGTTTTTTTTTTTTTTTTTTTGGCCATTCCTTGGGCTTGAACTCAGCTTAGGTGCTGACCCTGAGCCTTTTTGTGTTCAAGGCAAGCGCTCTACCATTTGAATACAGCATCACTTTCGGCTTTTTCTGAGTAGTTTATTGTAGGCAAGTGTTACGGACTTTCCCGCCCAGGCTGGCTTTGAACTGTGATCCTCAGATCTCAGCCTCCTGAGTAGCTAGGATGACAGGCGTGAGCTGCTGATGCCCAGCCTCAGTTTTGATCCAAGGAAGGAAGGGGTGGGTGTATCTGGTAAGCTGCAGAGTCCCCTCGGTGCCTGCAGGGTGCCTAGGCTGCCCCGGTGGGTGGCCGCAGCCATCTGGAATGGGAGTGCTCTGATGGATTCCACTCCAGAAGCTGTCAGCAGGTGGCCGCGAGCACGCGCGGTGGTGTGGCAAGGCTGTGCCGCAGGGTGCTGCGTGCTGTTCACCAGAAACTGACCAGAGGAGCTGCAGGGAGCCCCGGGGAGGCGCCCCCCGTGGGTGTACTGCTGTGAGCCTGGAGCTGGAAACAGCCGTGGGGGAGCCCACTCACCTGGAGGGAGCAGGCGGTGGCGTGGAGCTGCCTCTGCCTGTCTTGGTCCTGGGTTGTGAGTGTGTCCCTGCAGGGGCCCTGGCAGGGGGCAGGGGCCTCCTGGCAGCCAGAGTGGCCTGGGCCTTGAGTGCCTGGGAATGGTAGCATTTCCCGTGGAGGGCGGGAGCTGGGTGGGTGGCAGCAGGTGCAGTCAGGTGAGTGGCAGGTGTGCCAAGCGTGCAGGCCTTGGAGTGTAGACACAGGGGTGACCGGGGGAAGGGGACCTGGATGGGGGGCCCAGCGGGGGCGGGGGCTGTGCTGCTCAGGCCAGGGAGCACAGAGACATCTGGCCACGCTGCACAGAGATGGGAGCAGCAGCCGGGAGGCTGCATGGGTGGGAGGCCAGGTGTGCCCCGGCCTGGAAGGCCTTCCTCACCATGCCGCCCCTTCCCTCCCTCCCAGGCCATCTGAGTGAGGACCCCAAGTTCCCAAAGGTGCCGTGGCCCACCCCAGAGCTCTGCCCAGCCTGCCACGAGGAGATTAAGGGCCTGGACAGCTGGAACGAGGGCCACGTGCTCCTGTTCCTGAAGCGGCACTACGGCCGTGACAACCTTGTGGACACGTATGCTGCAGACCTGGGCGATGGCGGTGACGGGGCAACCACGGGCAGGGCCCGGGCAGAGGGGGGCCGACTCGGTCCCCCGGGGAAGCCTCAGGGAGCCCAGGATGACCCAAGTCTCCATCCACTCCATGTCCTGGACCCCAGAACGGACCTGCTGGAGAGCTTGCACCACCGGCTGGACCTGAGACTCCAGAGTCCCCAGGGGCCTGGGGCCCGGGAGGAGGCTGAGGCCGAGGTGCCTCTCCTCGGGGTTGGCTTCTCCAGCCTGGACATGAGCTTGTGCGTGGTGCTGTACGTGGCCTCTTCCCTGTTCCTGATGCTCATGTACTTCTTCTTCCGTGTGAGGTCCAAGCGATGGAAAGTCCGTCTCTACCACCCGGCTGTATAGAGCCCTCCTGTCCGTCTCTACCACCCGGCTGTATAGAGCCCTCCTGTCCAGTTCTACCACCCGGCTGTGGAGAGGCCTCCTGTCCGGCTCTACCGTCCAGCTGTATAGAGCTCTCCCGTCCGGCTCTACCACCCGGCGGTGGAGAGGCCTCCCACCGGCGCTACCACCCAGTTGTGGAGAGGTGCCCTGGGCAGCCTGGGCAGCGCTCCCACAGTGCTAACATTTGTGATCAGGGATTTTGTAACCATGCCAGACTTGGCCCTTCAGAGTGCAGGCAGCCCTGGTGGAAACACTTGTGCTTTCCCAACTCGTGTCAAAAGACATCTGTGTGTTCACTGTCCTAAGTTGGAGCAGGCAGGTCTGCGCAGGGCCTTCCCTGCACTCCATCCTGCCTGCCAGGCCCGTCCGAGGGACACAGCGAATGGAAGCGCAGTGGCCTTCCCCCACACCCCACACCCCAGCCTGGATGCGGCCTGGGGTCTGTGCATGTAGGCGGAGGCTGTGCCTGCAGGCAGCAGAGCCCAAACGTTTCTACCACCTGGTGCCCTGCGGGGTGCTCACTCTGTGCACAGGCCCCCAGGCAGGAACGGGGCAGTGAGTGGTGTGGCTTTACTTTCTCTCAAGGAGTGACCCAGGGCTGTCAAGTAGTGGCTGGTTTGGAGGGGCAGGGTGGTGGCAGTGCCTTTTAATTGTTTACTGTTGACAAGGGACTGAGGGATAGCCCAGTCTGGCTACTCTGGAGGCAGTGTGGGCCAGCTGGAAGGTGAGTGACCATAGCGTCAAGGGAGGAGTAATGAGAACTGGTCCACTCGGGGGTGGGGGCGAGCGGGAGGCCTGTAGGAGCCTTTGTCTTGTATCCTTCATCTCACACAGAAGAAAGCACCAGCAGCGGCTAGGTATACAGGGCCCAGTGGGAAGGATGAGGACCTGGCATGGCCCCAAACCCCAGGACTCCTTGAACTGAAGCTGTTGAGAAGGGTCCCACGCAAGCCAGGCTCTTTGCAGGCCTCAGGGATGACTTTTAACCATTCCACAATTTAAACTCACTTTTTGTAAAATTAAAACCACCCATTGGCATGCAGTTTCAGGAGCATTCCTGCTGAGATCCTTTGTGGCCATTGGTTTGTCTCACAAGCGTCCTTTTATTTAGATGAAATAGACCAATGCCTTTGTGTGTGTGTGTGTGTGTGTGTGTGTGTGTGTGTGCACGCACACACACACACAGGAGTGACTAGAAGAGCTGTAAATACTCTTTCCACTTTGCCTATTGTGATTATGTATGGTAAATGGTCCCTGAGGACCCTGTAATGTGGCTGTGGCCTGAGAAGTGCAGACAACTGTCCCCTTGGGGCTGTCCTTAGCCAGCCTCCATTTTGTGGGAGGCGTGGATTTGGAGGCCTGACGCTTCCCAGGGCAGGAATAGCCTCGCTGCCTTGGCTCCACCACCTTGAGCTCCTGCTTCTCCTGGGCCATGAAGGACCTTTTCGTGTGATGCTTTTTAACCTTTTAAATCCTGTTTTTAAAAAAAAAAATGAACCTGTCTTTGGCTAGTCATGTGCCTAGGTTACTAAAGATGCTGGCCCATCTGACAGGTCCTCACATCTCCAGGGAAGCTCTGAACCCTCTGTCTACCTCTGTGGATGCCTTCTCCACCAAAGGAGGTGTCTTCAGTGGGCAAGGCGGGGCTCCTGCAGTGCATTCTCCAGTCTGACCTTCATGGAGACCCATGTTCGGCAGCGCTGGCTTTCAGCTTCTCTCCTGCAGAACTAGAGGCTGCTTCCTGAGGATGAGCTTCCCCAGGCAAATCTGGGGAGAGTGGCTGCCATGATGTGTGGGGCCAGCCTGCAAGGGATCAGGACTCAGATGCCTACATTACCTGCTCAGATCAGTGGTGCCACCTTTAGGCAAGGTGTAAGCCGTTGTATGTGTGTGTGAGATATACTGGTGGGTCACGTCAGTAATCCTAGCTACTCAGGAGGCTGAGATCCCAGGATCACAGTTTGAAGTCAGCCCAGGAAGGAAAGTCCAAGAGACTTACCTCCAGTTAACCCAAAAGCCAGAAGTGGAGCTGTGGCCCAGGTGGTGGAGTGACAGCACCCAGGCCCCGAGTTCAAGTGCCAGTGCCAGCCCACACACAAAAAGGTATTGAACCAATGAATACAATAGGGAAGTAATATAAATGCTTATTTATTTTTAATGAAGAGATTTTGATTAAAACTGAATTGACATGGGAATATCAGTAAAATTTCTTAACTGGAAGGAAAGTGAGTATTTTGTATTTAAGTAAACTATATGTGTACATTTTAAAAATAAAATCTGACATTTGAGAAAATTGTCATCATTCTTTTGAAATGTGAGCCAGCCAGCTACAATGTGATCGGGTGGGGACGGAACGTCTGAAATTCTGGAATTTCCTCTATTGAGCCAGAAGTCTCTTTGGAAGGCAGCCCTGAGGCCAGACAGAGACAAAGATGGGAAATGGATTACAGAGAATCTTGGAGCTGTCGTGGATGGAGGTGGCTATGGGACCTGTTCAACAGCTCACCAGTACCTGGACACAGACCCTCTGAGGGGCCGCGCCCCTACACAGCAGGGGTGGATAGGCGGCTCTGGCTGAGCCCCTTTCTGGAGGAGAGCCTCACTGGGTAGGCTTGGCCAAGGGCTGCCTGCCTCTCCGCAGAGGAGCGGGCACAGGCGTCTGAGTGTATTCAAGTGACCTGTGATGTGTACATGTTGAGTGTCAGGTTCTTTGGAGTGCGGGCCCGCTGTGGTCCAGCAGCAGCAGCTCACCACAGGGGAGAGCCTCGCATGGGCACTGTCTCCTGACGGCCAGCACCTGACGGCCCTGGGGCTCCGCCACCCGCTTGCCTGGGCCGGAGCCTCCGCAGAGCAAAGCAGGACTCTAGCAGCTTCCTTGCGGGGGCGTGGGTGAAGAGTTGGGGAGACACCAGGCCCTGCCCAGTCTCTCCAAGCCCAGCCTGAGGACCAGCTCCTGCGGCCGCCCGCCGCCTGCCCGTGGGGGCGGGGACGGGGAGGGGCGGGCGGGAGCCTCCCTCAGCACCACGGACAGGGCCAGTTCGGGGCTGGGCTCCGTCCCAGGAACCGGGAGCTCCCACCCTCCCGGGACGCAGACCGGGCCCACGATGCTGCTGGAAGCAGAGCGGGGTCGTGACCAGGAGCGGCCCGGAGCCCGCACGGCCGCCGCCCTCCGCACCTTGGGCGGGGCTGCAGGTGAGGTCGGAGGGTCCGCACCCGCCCGAGGGGCGGAGGCAGAGCGCGCAGG